ATGTTGTAGTGTTTTTATTAATGTCGTTGTGTTTTCATTAATGTTGTTGTGCATTCGTTAATGTCGTTGTGTTTTGCACCTCAGGGCCACCGTACTCTAGTAAAAGATACGTTATTAATCAGAGTGAATGGAATGACATTTTCTATGGATTTATTTAGTGGAATCAACAGTGTAATGTCTTTACCTCAGTTCTACTGCAGTGTGAAAATTATTGCAACTGTGCAACTGTTTGGATGGAAACGGAGTCCTTCCATCTCCTACATGTTGCAGGAGGTGGTAGTAATCTTACTGTACACAATATTTTCCTGCTGACTCTTTTTTGCTTTAATAATCCAGAGAAATCTTCACTCTAGCTTCCTTCTCAAAGATTTTACAAACGAAAGATTTGGAATCTTGGGATTTACACAAAAGCTGGAAATAAGAATATTCAGACAAATACAAATCAAGGCAACAAATTTAAGAAATTAAATTGTCTAATTATTTACAAATAAAATCCCATAACATCACAATTTGCCAAAACTAATTTTAACTTAGGAACTACTGCAAGCAAGACGTTACAGCTTGCTGAATCAGTGTGTGTTTTGGACCAAAGTGGGTTGCATTAGATTTAAAGTGACAAGGTACTTGTCTTAACCTGAAATAGATTTTCTGTGCTTTTATAATACATGCCATGCACATTGTGTCACTATCATGAGAGCATTCTTAATGGTGTTTCAGAGTTTACCAAGATGAAGAAATGGTGCATTTTAAGCCTCATGTGTAATTAAATGCTGTCTGATCAAGCCAGTAGTGTGAAGGGTGGCTCCAGACTGCGATAGCTCCTGTGTTTGCGGGAAAGATGTAACCATACAGAAGCAGTTTTTTTTCCCTGGATTATGCTCTTATTCTTCCAAGTGTTCTATTTCCGTGCTCTCTGTTGGATTTGTTTTTAGTGCATATACTGTATATTTAACACCATTGCTCGGAAGCAGGGCTGCATGTTAGTGTGGTGGTTCGTGCCAGCACCACGCAGCAAGAGGGTCCCTGGTTTAAATCCATACTAGGGGCTTGTCTGTGTTGAGTTTGCATTTTCTCCGAGGGTTAATTGGTCACTTCAGATTACCTACAGGAGTGAATCTGAACCTGCATGTGATGGGTTTAGGACCTGTTCAGGACTCTGTGACAGCAAGGACAGGCCCCAGCCCCCTGCCGACCCCATCAGGAATAAGTGGAACAGAAAATAAGTGATGCTAGATGCAATTACGTTTATGTCTATGGTTAAATACCATTTCAAGCCCTCTTATCCGAGATACCATCAAGCTAGAGACCAAGAAGGCCAAGTTCTATCTGTCAGGCTTCAAATGGGGGTTTTCCAAGAGTGTCACGTCTGGTGTCTCGTCATGTCCTGATTACCAATTGTGTGCACCTGGGGTTCCCCTTCCTCGTGTGTTTAAATAGTCCTCGTTTCCCCTTGTCTGGTGCGGGGTCGTTCTTGTCTTCTTGCCTTGTCTCTTGTCCTTTCGTCCGTCGTCACCCCCACGCCAGGTTTGTTTCGTTATAGTTCTGCCACAGCCACAGTCATAGTCACGTTTTGTCATAGTCTTGTTAATCTTCATTTTGTTACTTTGACATAGTTTTTCCACAGTCTTGTTTGCTTGCTTTGATACTTTGCTCACAGTTTGCCACAGCTTTGTTTTGTACTTTGTCTGGACATTCACCCTGTTTGTACAATAAACCTTGTTTCCCCTCATCTCCGCACCTGAGTCCTCCCGTCAACACCCACCCCCCTTGACAAAGAGTATATATACTCAGCATGACTCGGCTGGACTCTACTTGTTTTTTTTGCACCCCAACAACAAACATTAACAAACATCTGATTAAATTTTTTGGTGATTTTTTTACATTGTAAATACTTAATACAAAGCAACATGTATTAAGGGCCTCATTCGTAGTGGAAAACCCCCTAAACCAAGTCATGGGAAGGCAGTAAAGTAGTAGAGCTGTGGTGGTACTAATAGAAAACACCCAAAAGTGTTACGAACTGTGGTGGGACCCAATAACACCCAGGCACGGAACAGTCAGTGAACAGAGTTTATTGAAGCAGGAGCGTGGGGGAAGCCCGGAGGGGCGTGGCCAGCGTAGACCGGCTCGCAGCCGGAAGGCTCGCCGCTCGGCTGGGGGATAATCCAGAAACGGAGTCCAGGAACGTACCGGGTTCAGAACCAGAGAGGCAGTCCGTGGGGGAGCAGGCAGAACTCAGAGTCGTGGGCAGGCGTGGTCGATAACGGGAAGGCAGTCCGGAACAGGCAGGAGAAGCAGACGGGGATCAGGCAAGCTCGGAGTCTGGCAAACGGGTCAGGCGTGGATCAGGCGGGTTCAGAATCACGGAAACGGGTAGAGTTAAACAGGCGATCAGGATACAGGAATGCTGTATGTTCTTACCGAAGGGTTTAGAGACGATCTGGCACTCGAGGCAGGTGAGAGCGGAGTATAAGAGGAGGTGGTGGCAGGTGGGTCCAATCTGGTTAATTGCGGGGGAGAGATGGTGAGACAGAAAAGGTAGGTGGAGCCAGCTCGAGTGCCAGAATGTCACAAAAAGGTACGGAAAGAGAGCCAGAGGAGCTGAAATGCTCATGAGAGGACACTCGTGTATCTGTCTAAATGAATACTCTATATTACATTCCACAGAGCAGGGCTTTACAGATGAGTAGGCAGGGAAAAATCATTACCTACAATAAATTAGCCAAAAATCAAATGGGAAACCAGCCAAACATATAGAAGGTCAAGACGTATTCAAGTGGGGAAAAGCTTTTAAAGGAGTTGTAAAGGCCTCATCAAAGCCAGACTTAAATCCCTCCCATGACTTGAAGATTATTGTAAACCAGCAGAAATAATCCAAATTAATAGAGACTGGAATGGTCAAAGGAAAAGACACGCTCATAGGTGGTGTATCTGGACTTTGAATACATACACAATTGTTACATTGTTACATACATTGAATACATTGTTACACAATATTTATAGAGATAAGGGGAATGTAAAAGCAAAAAAAGCCCTAACAATGTTGGGTTGAAGCTTTCAAGGCTTTTTTTAGAGCCCATACAGAAATGGAGCATGCTCTTTCCAAGATAATCAGTTGTCAAGTTCATTCACTTGAGAAGGAAAGCATATTGCTCACAAAGTAAATACAGAAATAAAGTGCACAAATTCTTCAGATAGAATATACTATAAAAGAAAAATACAATGCAGGCTAGGAATAGAAGCACATTTCCAGCAAGCCCACCCGGCAGCCCAACAGGGGCAGAGCTTGAGTGAGCATACATGAGTCTATTTGTGGTTCTGTGCCTGTGTGGACAAGACTATAATACTTTCCAGGAAGTATGCATTAGAGAGAAATAAAATGAAAGGTTTAATCAAAAGCTGGTGTTAAATGATAAAAACGTCAGCCTTGAGTGGAACAATGAAACTCTTTAGGACTTTAGGAGGCTGTCTCTGCAAAGATAAGCTGAGATTGGAAACTGTTTTTCTCCACAGACCGGGATGTTAGACAAGTCCTGATTATAGGATGGTAATAAGTATGTCACAGCTGAAGGCTGTGTGATGTTTTGTAAGTTATGGAAGTGTATAACAAGGAAAAGTGTCTTGTGTCGAGACTTTATTTTGTCAGGGTCTTGTATAATGTAGCATTGCTCTGGTCACTGCAGTAATAGATTTCAATAAGAAAAGCTTAATTGTTACTTTTTTGGGTAACACTATTTCAGCTTGTGCTTACCATCAGCTCAGATGTGCAGTGTGTTTTGTTTTTATTTCACTTATCTTTAAAATATATTTCTGAGGTGTACTGTATTCTGTAAATAGTAAATTGATTATATTGGGGGGGGGGGGGTAACAAATAATTCCAACAGAGCCTACAACCATTTGGTTGAGTTAATGAGCCAAAATACATAATGGGAATTCGAAAAGGATCGTGGTTTGGTTTAGTTGTTTCCAAAACAAACAAAAAAAGCAGATTGTGACTTTCTCGGAGACATTAGGATACAGAATACAAATTCCAATGGCAATACGAATATCTGTAGTATAAGTCTCCTCTCAATAAGGATCTCTACTGTGCAGTACAGAATGAAATGCATAACACAGAGCTAGATAACCTGCATGGACAGGGCAAATAACCCCCCATTGGTTATTAACTTAGACATAAATGCCCTCTGAGTATGTGTAACAAGAAGCAAAGTTCAGACACCATATTTTGACTGATCAAAATCTTTTACGTGAGGACAACTAACAAAGGACTTCTGACGAAAGGTTGAAGGACCTCAGAGTTCACCTGACACTTTGGACTAATTCAGCACACAAATACAACTAGTAACAGGGTGTTTTGTAATGGTTGCGATGCATATTGCAATGGTAATAAGAGCATAGGTTCGTCAAAAATGTCTTACATGGCAGTTTTCCAAACAGAGCGGTACAGGGCTCTCCTTTTACAAACATGAGAAATATCAAAGCTTCTAAAACAATTAAAAACAGAGGCCCTTTAAGGGCCCCAGCCTCTGATAAATGTTACAGTTCACAAGATGAGCCATCATTAAACATCTGGAGTCGGCTTTCAAAGGAGCAGCGCACAACTACAGCCCTTTACAACAGTTTTAAGGACGGGCTGCAAAGAGGCTGTTGAGAGGCCAAAAATTAATTTAGTAAAAACAGCTCTAATAATATTAGGTTTACATGTATGCCTCAATGTGTCTGTGGCGAAGAGAGATGAACACAGTAATATTCACACTGATCTAATTTTAGTTATAGCGGAGAAAAAGCTTACGGAGGGTTGGAACGTCAGCATCAGTCTAGAATAATTCTTATTTTATTTGCTAATCATTTGCTGTAAATCCAAATGGCAGAAAGACAGTACATAGAACATTTTATCAGAACATTTTAGCATTTATGAAACAGTGGTTTTTTAATGTTGTGCAAGTATTGTGTTTTTTAAGAGTTTGGGATAGGGCCATGTTGGAAAGAAGTTAATTCCAAAAACTGTGTGAGCTAAGAGTGTTGCTATTTCAGATAAACTTTCATCTACAGATAGATAGATTAAGGCGTTTCATCATCTGTGGTAAACTGTTGTTAGACAATATATATATATATTTATTTATTTATTTATTTTCTACACAGGATTAAACTGAGAAATGCTATAATTCTTAATTACTCTGATCACTCTGCCTTTGGTCAGCAGTGTTTTCAATACAAACCCATTCCTGTACTGAAACTGCCCAAATAGACTGAGAATACTTAAAAGTCTTGCCTGTCACATTCATTTTCCCCAAAACCCAGAATCTCGTCACCCAGGAAGAAGACACTATGTCTGTATCAGCTGAAGGCTAACTAGTTTAAGGTTCTGTAAAAGTCAACGACGCGGTGATCTTATCTTTTTTTTTATTTCTCCTTTTTTCACTGGAGAAAAAAAATTCGAACCCAGAACCTTCTTGCTGGGAGGCGATAGTGCTAACCACCACACCACCGTGCCGCCTAAACAAAATATAAACAATGAAATATGTCTGATGATCACAAGAGTTTCAGAATTGTGTCCCTTGTGGGATATTGATCTCAAGGTTATAGCTTCTGGATTTAAGCCAGCGGCTCAGGGGAAGAGTAGGTGGTTTACAACATGTCTTCTTTGATGTAACTGAGCACATAGAGTGAGTGTTTTTCACACAAGGTTCTCCAGTTTTCAGTTTTTGGACTTTTTTTGCAAAAGTTTCTAGATATTTTAGGATAGTATAGGGGAAAGAATGACTTACATCGAATCAATCTGAAACAGTTTGGCTGAAAAATGGTTATGGCTAAGCATTCTGATGGTATATTTTCCTCAGGTTGTTTTTTCTCAAATTCTAAGATCAACTATAATATCAACTATCAACTATAATAGATTAAATTATTTGCAATTCAAATGTGTAATATATATACAGTATATGTAACTCCCACTGACTCTTAGCCAGGTGTTCCACCGTCATTTCCTTTACGTATCAATTACTAATGTGCAGTGTTCCCCTAGTGATTGCTATCCACTATCAGGGGATATCCTGCTGCGGTTCCACTGAGTAAGAAATCCCTTTCATGCACTAAATGCTCCATGCTCTGAATGTTCCTCAGGAGGAGATCTAGGTTAAGTGGTGTTTGATGCCTCGGTAGAAGGCAAAATGCCTGCCAGTGACAGTTTTTCAAGTTTAACTAGACACTCCACATTCTCTCATTGGCTGGCTTTACATTAATCATTCATTACTTGTGTGTCAGTGTTTGGTGTAGCGTACTTTCAAACTAGGTCATTTGGCACAAACAAATTCTTTCTCAGGCCTCACAGGGATGGACTTGTTCTGGGAACATATCAGAATCAGAATCAGAATCAGAAATACTTTAATAATCCCAGAGGGAAATTATTTTTGTTACAGGCTCAATAAGCAAAATAAAACAAATGCATATACATATGTACATGTCTATACATATATACATATATATATACAAAATTCCTCATAAATATAGCTAGATATATACAAAATGAGAGGTGGATAGTGTCAATGATTAAGATTGACTCTCAGAGGGAAGCGTTGTACAGATTGATGACCACCGGCAAGAAGGATTTCCGGTGGCGCTCTGTGGTGCATTTGGGTGAGAGGAGTCTTCTGCTGAAGGAGCTCCTCTGTTGGGCCAGTGTGTCGTAGAGGGGGTGAGACACATTGTCCATGATGGACTTAAGCCTGGACAGCATCCTCCTCTCTGCCACGGTCGACAGAGTGTCCAGCTCCTCCCCTACAACATCACCCGCCTTCTTGATCAGTTTATTTAGTCTGTTGCTGTCTGCGATCCTCAGCCCACTGCCCCAGCATGTGACAGCAAAGAAGATCGCACTGGCCACAACAGACTCATAAAACATCCTCAGCATCGTCTGACAGATGTTAAACGACCTCAGCCTCCTCAGGAAGAAGAGTCGGCTTTGGCCCTTTTTGTAGACTGCCTCGGTGTTTCTTGTCCAGTCCAGTTTATTATTTAAGTACACCCCCAGGTACTTATACTCCTCTACAGTGTCTACAGGGACCCCCTGGATGGAAACAGGGGTCACAGGTGTTTTGGCCCTCCTCAGATCCACTATCAGCTCCTTTGTCTTTGTCACATTGAGCTGCAGATGGTTAAGTTTACTCCAAGTGACAAAGTTGTCCACCACAGTCCTATATTCACCTTCATCTCCCCTTTCAATGCAGCCAACTATTGCTGAGTCATCAGAGAATTTCTGAAGATGGCAGGACTCAGAGCAATGGCTGAAGTCTGAGGTGAAGACGGTGAAGAGGAATGGAGAGAGGACAGTCCCCTGAGGGGCCCCGGTGTTGCTGATCACCCTGTCAGACACACAGTTCTGTAGGCGTACATACTGTGGTCTGCCCGTCAGATAGTCAACAATCCAGGACACGATGGGGGCATCCACCTGCATCGCCGTCATCTTCTCACCCAGTAGAGACGGACGGATGGTGTTGAAAGCACTGGAGAAATCAAAGAACATGATCCTCACAGTGCTCACCGGCTTGTCCAGATGAGTGTAGACTCTGTTCAGCAGGTAGATGATGCTGTCCTCAACTCCTAGGCGGGGCTGGTAGGCGAACTGTAGTGGATCCATGAAGGGCCTGACCATAGGCCTTAGCTGCTCCAGAACTAGCCTCTCGAAGGTCTTCATGATGTGGGACGTCAGTGCCACCGGTCTGTAGTCCTGAGGGCCGTTAGGACGCGGCGTCTTAGGTACAGGAACGAGGCAGGACGTCTTCCACAGCACGGGGACTCTCTGGAGGCGCAGGCTCAGGCTGAAGACCAGACCAAGGACTCCACACAGCTGGGCGGCACAAGCTTTAAGCACCCCAGGAAATACACCATCGGGGCCTGCAGCTTTGCCGGTGTGGAGTCTGGTCAGTTGTCTTCGAACCAGGTCAGGTGTGAAGGACACTGAAGAGGTGACAGTTGTGGGAGGGGCTAAGTCCTCAGGTTGTGGAGGACACGATGCAGAGCAGGGGGGAAGGGTGGAGTAGGTGGGTGTGGAATGAGGTGGTAAGGAGAAGACAGGGCGTCTGAAAGGAGGAGGAGTGGGGGAAGGTGGAGTGGTCGTCGTTGGGAAACCATCGGCATCAGGTGGAGTGGTCGTCGTTGGGAAACCATCAGCAGAGGCTTGTGGGGGAAGGGCCTCAGTATCAAACCTATTGAAAAATAGGTTCAATTCGTTGGCTCGTTCCACTCGGCCATCCAACCCCATGTTGCCGGTCTTCTGGAACCCGGTGATGGTTAAACACAATATAGTCCCACTTTTCAACCACACATTCACATTGAACGTAGCTGTTTTTCGCTTGTACTTGTAAAGCATTTTCTGTGTAATACCGGCAATTTTAAAAAGCATTGTTGACTCAGCAAAACTGACAGTTTCATACAGTTTCATACTTTTACAGTGAATGAGAAGTTATTTAATCAGGGGTCAAAAAGTATTATTTCTGTAATGACACAAAAAAAACATCCATCCATCCATCCATCCATCCATCCATCCATCCATCCATCCAT